GTGTAACTTTCATTTCATTGTTTGTTGATCTTACAAGATTACTATCCTAATGACCTGGAGGTGACGTGTGAAAGAAAGTCATTGCATTGAAGACAATCATGAGACAATGTGGGTCATCGCCATCATGGCGGAAGTGAGTTGATGAATGTCAACATACCCCAGTGTTACAGAACGTCTCAAGTAACATTATGTCACACAACAGCTGCTGCAGTGTTTCCAACTCATAGGAGACGGTCAGGTTTGTTGGATTTCACTTAACAAGATGCAACAGACTGGATACTAACTGACATACGCTCTGATTGGTTCTGTCACCTCTATTGACATATGAGCTGACCCAAAAGATAGAAGAACAACGCTGAAATATTATCTTTTTTGGCTCTCCTCCGAACTTCTACCCCCGCATTATGGCGGTCTGAAATATCCGTTCGGGGCTCAGTGCAATGAAAAATTCGGACTTTCTGCCAAGGAACAAATCGTCGCAAAACTAGGATTATTTGACAATTTCAAGAGACGCAGCATTGCAGTCGATAGTAGCAGACGATAAAAGCGACCGGTGACAATGTCGAGCGTTTCTGCAGATGATAAAAGCGACCGTTGACAATTTCGAGACATTACAGACGATGAAAGCGACATGGCGGGTAGACCACGCGCTCCCATGCCGCTACGCGCGGCGCGGATGGGACTCTAAACTAGGTGCCTGGGACTCACGAGCAAAGTAATTGGAGGAAGTTGCAGGAGATGCGGTAGCAGCTGCTCGTGAGTCCCAGCCATCTAGTTTAGCCCCTATCCGCGGCGCAGAGGATACTGTGGGCGGTGAGGCAAAGTCACAGAAACAGGTCCGAAAAGTAACATATCGCTGAGACCCTGTTTTTATACACACTTGTCTGCTAGTTGAGAATTGTCTCTTTAATGTGCCTTCGCTGGTCACACGTTTCTTTTCCCTATGGGCCTATGATGCTAAACTGCATAGGACTCAAAGGCTTAAAAAAAAAGGTTAGGAAATTATAGGGAAGTGAAGAAAAAGGGTAATGGAAAAAATAGTTTGTCTTTTTCTTCTTGTCTCTACTCCTATGTTTATGTTTATTCAACGGAACAACATCATGGCGCACAGGTGTGACCGATAAGTGCTCCGTTATACTTCTAACTTAAGCATGAGTCTGAAGATTCTCAGCGCACTGCCCGAACTCTGTTGCACCGACGATGATCCTGAAATAGCATGGGTAGATTTTAAACTCAAAATTTTGCCCGGGCAGCGCCGTTAAGCTACTCCTTTTCGATCTCCAATTGCGAATGTATTTTTTACTTGCGCAACAGTACACACTGGAGTCCGATCAGAGACCAGGGGAAATTACTAGAAGTCCACGTAAAAAAAAAAAAAAAGATCCCAGCCTTCAACGGGGCTGGAACCCAGGACCTCCAGCACTAGAGGCGGATGATATACTTCGAGACCACTCAACCTCCATTAGAGAAAAGGAAGTGAGTTGACGTAATCTTCAACGAGAAGAAACTAGAAATGTGTCTTGTTGTTTGCTGGACACAGGAGAGAGAGAGAGACCTGTTGGCTGATTAGTTGATTGTCGGTTAAATCTTCTACTTTCTCACGATTTTAGAGATATAAAGCTCATGTCCAGCTGTACTCATCGTATGAAAGAATAAGTATGTTGTAAAACAGCAAGTAAGTCTGTATAAATGACGTTTTTTTCGCCATGTAAAAGTCTAATATCTCCTTACGGCCTTACCTTTAAAAAGAAAAGGTAAATAAAGTAAAGAACGAGAAACGAAACACAAGGAAGGAGACCGGAGTTTGTAACGTTGATGATATATGTACGTGTCGTATGTATTAGATCTGCGCGGACATTGTTTAGTTAGTTAGTTAGTTAGTTAGTTGGGTTATCCTCATTGCACTCCGGACATGTCCATAGGTGCTCAGATTCTCCCCTCAGTATGAACCCCAACGTCCGATGGCTAATAGTACCAGTTCTATGTTGATTAACAAGTCTTCTGGCGTAGCTGGTGTGCGTCTCGTTTTTTGCTGTACCGATCTTAATTCCCAAGTCTGCCATTCTGGCGAGTGATGTTAATTCACTGCCACCAAAGTCCTCTATCCTTCCCATTTCTCTGAGGGCATTGATAATATCAGCATGATCCATAGGCTGACCGTCGGTAGTGATAGCGGATCCAGCCAACCTGTCAGCTCTTTCATTTCCATCGACATTGTTTAGTGTTAATTATGATTAAAATTCTTGTATAGTATCATGATTAGCACCTCCATGCAACGATAACACAGTCTAGTTCAACTAGTTGGCTTTTAGGCTATCCTCCGAATAACGGGCACAAAATATCCTGACGAGCCTCAGTCATGTGTTGTAAACATTCAAAAATTGAAGTTAAAACTAATAAGGAACGAAAAAATATGTTATATCAAATCGACTACTTACCGATAATTTTATGCCTTTATATCTAGAAATTATGGCACAGAAGTTGTAAATAGTGCCCGAAAATCTGCTGTTTGTGGCTGTTACGCCATTGAAACTCGGCTAAGTATGATTGGAACAAGGCGCAGCGTAGAAAAATATAGCATAACGGGGCGTCACTCACGCGTAAATTGCCGACTTCCTTCTGACGAACACTCCGCCGAGAGCCTCCCACACGAGCAAATAAAATGAGGACGCTGCAGGAGGTGCGGTAGCTGCTGCTCGTGGGTCCCAGCCATCTAGTTTAGCCCCACTTGTCGGCGAGTTTAACTCGGAGGTTTGTTCCGTTTCTTGAAATTGTCAACAACTGTTATCTTTTGTGCCCATTTTTGGAGGATAGCCGGCTTTTTAAATGTTTCTGCTTTAACTTTAATGACCAGCAGAGTTAGCTCATGTGTATGGTCAAGACAAGAAACACATAGGTACTGCAGTACTGTAACAGTATGAGATGCCGGACACTGGGAGCTTAGTCCTTTAAGGCACCTTCCCATCTGTAAGCAAAAAGGGGCTCCACCCTCTCTCCCCCCCCCCCCCCCCCCCCACCCCCAAAAAAAATCTTGTGTTCGCTGGCTGTAAAGTTTTGGCAGTTTGTCTACCTGTAGACTTTAATCTTGTTCTAGAACCCGAGTGCTGGGTGCACATCCGTTTTACGGATCTGGCTTATTTGTATGCAGAGTGTTGCTTCCTTGCCTCTCAGGCAGATGCACTCCGACTTCAAAGCCCCAGTTAGTCAACTCTTTTAAGACATACTTGCTTGAGAAGCGGTGGGTCTATTCTTATTTTTCTCAGAATGGGGCACTGGAACCGACAACAGTTAAACTATATATAAAAGTTCTATTTTTCAATATTTGTTTACAAAATTCATATTTTTTCGGATGTATTACTATTTTTATGTAACAGCATATTTTTCAAGTATTCCCGGAATCAGAAGTCAGGCTCCTTGAGGCCCCGCCCCCTTACAATTTACAAAGCTCCTCCCCAATTTGAAAGCTCCTCCCTCCCTCCCAACTCCTCATCCCTTTGTCCAGTCATACATTGGTGACTACAGTAAACTACTATTAACATAACTTATAATTGGAACACATGATACAACCTTATGGTGATGACATAAAACTGGCTGACAAATGCTGTGTTGGTGTGAAGGGAAGAACTATATCAAGACCAGTGAATCAAATATTGAAAAAAAGACCCATGACTGATAAGGTACAAATAAATAAAACCAGCTAATTGCTTCAGAAAACTGAGACAGGTAACCTGCACTCTGAATAGGTATACAGAATTTGGAAGTCACACTTAACTTTCTCACATGGATGTGCATGCCTGGGTATGTAGGAATAGAAGGAAATAAGTGAGCAGATTAGCTGGCGTATTCTACCACTGCATGCAGGAAGATGCATGGGCAGAGCAGATATCATCAACACTACATACTGACAGAAAGTAATAAATCTGAGACATTAACATGATTAAATGAACTCAGAATGAAGCCTGGTAAAGCACATCAGTTTTGTCTTTGAGATCAAGATAGAAGACATAACTAGCTTCTCATAGGAATGGTTAGTAGAGGTACCTTGGGGCAGCTGCTGTGTTGGAGGTCTCAACATGCATGGGAATACCCAGTGTGCAGTGACATTGATTGTGATAACCTAACAGCTTATAGTATGATTAGACTCTGGTTCATCCTTTCCTATATCATGCTCAAAGAGTGGATTAGTTTCTGGTGCAGCTGATCTTGAGATATCTTCATACATTTCTTTTAATCTTTCCAGTGGCTCTCATAACATGCCTGAAGACACAAGATCAGTGGCTCTCAACTTTTCTAATGCCATGACCATTTAATACAGTACTGTTTTGTTGTGGTGACCCCCAAACAATTATTTTCCTTCATAACTTCACTGAATATGTTTTTTTTTGGGGTCTCAGGCGACCACTATAAAACAATCGCTTGACCCCAAAAAGGGTTGAGAACGCTGCACTATATCGGTGTTTCTCAACCGTTTTACACCAGCGGCCAAGGAAAATGGGAAATAGTTTCATGGCCCACCAACAGCTAACCAAACATGAAACAAAAACAAATGTAGACAGCATCTGCTGCTACCTAGATGTTATAAATTGGATATGTTGGACAGAAGTGTTGTTTATTATAGATAAAGTGCTGCAATAACATCCATTTGATTTCTCTGTTTAGTTTTTATTAATAACATGACTGAGAATGCCACCTGCCAGTTAAACGTTACTGCTCTAGATCACTCTCCATGTTTCCTACCTTTTAAACAATTATAAAATTCCGAAAGCACAAAAATATAATAAGAATAACACATATGCAAAGGAACACAGAAATGACTCAAATAGAAAATAGATGGATCTTGCAAATAATAAGTAAAGAATACGGGGAACTGGAACATAATTAGTTGTAGACCAGTGCTGCTTTGGTAAATAAGTATAAATGAATAAGGATCTGTATATTGGCGTGTTACAGTTTTTCAAGTGCTGCCTGTATTTTTTTCCTTTGGCACTTGTCTTCCGCAGTGTTGAGTTCTATACTAGGCAAGCTACCTGGTATGTCCTCAGAGCAGATCAGTCCAGAGGCTGCAGGGAAACAGTTTGAGAATGATTTCCAGGAACTGAAAGAGAGGTGCCAGGTAAGCTTAAGATAATTGTTTAAGTTTTATTTAGAGATGTCAGGTAGGCTTCAGATTGTTGTTTAGAGATGCCAGGTAGGCTTCAGATTGTTGTTTAGAGATGTCAGGTAGGCTTCAGATTGTTGTTTAGAGATGTCAGGTAGGCTTGAGATAGTTGTTTAGAGATGTCAGGTAGGCTTCAGATTGTTGTTTAGAGATGCCAGGTAGGCTTCAGATTGTTGTTTAGAGATGTCAGGTAGGCTTGAGATTGTTGTTTAGAGATGCCAGGTAGGCTTCAGGTTGTTGTTTAGAGATGCCAGGTAGGCTTCAGATAATTTTTTTATGTGATGTTTAGAGGTGCCAGGTAGGCTTGAGATAGTTATTTATGTGTTGTTGTTTAGAAGTGCTAGTTAGGCTTCAGATTGGTGTTTACGTTTTAGTGTTTAGAGATGTTAGGTAGGTTTCAAATTGTTGTTTATGTTTTAGTATTTAGAAGTGCTAGATAGACTTCAGATAGTTGTTTAAGGGTGCTAGGTAGGCTTCCTGTTGTTTATATGTTGTTTTATAGAGATGCCATAGGCTTCAGATAATTACTTATGTGTTGTTTAGAGGTGCCAAGTAGGCTTATGATAGCTTATATGTATGTTTGCTGCTTAGAATGCCAGCAAACCTCAGAATGTTCTTTAGAGTTGCCATGCAGATAGTTTATATTTTGTTGTTTAGAAGTGCCAAACAGAGAAGGTCTGGAAGCAGAGAGGAGAGGTTTCACCGGCTAGTATGCAGCCTGGAGATTAAATAAATTGCATGCAATAGATTTGCTGTGTGCAAAAGTTATTTCTGGGACACACATACATTTGTGGGGTGTTGTCTGTGTAACTGTGCCATTTCAGGGTGGAAAATCTGAGCCTAGTATGCTGTCTTCAGTATGGCTTATAGATATTTTGGTGCAGTTGCTGGAGAAAATGTGGGGATGACTGCAGTCAAGCTAATACACAGGAATTCCAGAGAAATTAGACTAAAAAGCTCAACAAAATGGGGAAGCAGAAAAACGTGCACTATATTTGTGACTATATTTTTTAGCCATCGTTTATTTTATTTTATTTCATTTATTCCACATCACATTTTTTTAAACGTTGCTAACGTCACCCCTTAGAGATCTAATACTCTCCTCTCCTCGTTGTTACGTTTGTGTAGTTTGCTTACGTTTGAAAAAGGCTGCCCGGCCGAAACGTTACGTTGTGTTGTTTTGTGCATGTTTTTCTGCTTCCCTATTTTGTTGAGCTTTTTAGTCTAATTTGTCTGGAATTCCTGAGTTGCTGGAAAAGCTGTGTGGTGGAGGGGGTTAATAATGAAATAAATAGATTGGGAGGAAGTCGAAGGTCAGTTTGTGCTAAGTGTTGAAGCTGAAGGTTAAATAAAGGTACTTACTGAAGTCAAGAGGGACAAGATCTGGGATCTCTATTCAGTGAGTAAGAGAATGATAAGGCAAAAATATGAGAACAGACATTAGAAGTCATTGTTATTTTTCTGCCCTTTTATTTTCAGTGTTTTCTCTACCCTTTTATTTTCAGTGTTCATTTTTTACCCTTACATTGTCACTGTTCTATTTCTACCCTTGCATTATCACTGTTTTTGTCTACCCTTATATTATCACTTTCAGTTATTGGCCTTTTTATTTACAGTAGTGTCCCCCCCCCCCCCCCCTCCCCCCCCCCCACCCCCCCCCCACCCGCCTCCCCCAATATTGTCACTACACTTTTGTCTACTTTTGTACTTTAATTTTCTCTTGTCTGTTTCTCTCCCTCACATCATACATTGATTAGAATAATAATAAAAAAAAATTAAGGTTGATAATTCTTTTTCACTGACATTATGATTGTTATTCTTCCCCAGCCCATATTTGCGGCCGACCCATCTCAGGTAAATACATTGTTACTTTTTTGTTGTGGCTTTATTGGCAGATGTATGCTTTGTTACATTAGTCTGAATTCTTAGCTTTTCTGAGACTTTGTGTTGTCATCAGCAGAATCCATGTGATTATAAAGCATTTACATGTACATTGCAGCACACACATATCGTATTGATAATGAAAGAGCTGATAGGTTGGCTGGATCCACTATGACTACCGACGGTCAGCCTATTGATCATGCTGATATTATTAATGCCCTCAGAGAAATGGGAAGGACAGAGAACTTTGGGGACAGTGAATCCATATCACTCGCCAGAATGGCAGACTTGGGAATTAAGATTGGCATAGCAAAAAACGAGACACACCAGAAGACTTGGTGATCAACATAGAACAGGTACTATTAGCCACTGGACATTGGGGTTCATACTGAGGGGAGGATCTGAGCACCTATGGACATGTCTGGATTGCAATGATGAAAACCCAACTAACTAACTAACTAACAAATCATATTAACGAGTGGCTGGCCAAGAGGTTAGAACACTGGCCTGTTCTGCGGAAGACATATGTTTGATCTTTGCTAAGGGATAGAGATTTTTTCTTATTGGGGGGGGGGGGGGGGGGGGTGCCTCAGCATTTGTATTTTTTAATGCATTTAACTTTTCATTCCAAGTCTCTTGTGGTTTTTAAACTTTCGCTGGCATATGTTAAAACTGAAATAAAAGTACGTAACTTGGTTTTCAAATTATGCTATTTAGAGTTCCATAAACTGTTCAATCTATTTAAAGCTGCTTATGCCTTGACAGTGCGAGTTTGATTATGTTAAAAAAATGTGTAATATTGATGCCTCCCATTACAGACTCACAGTGATGCATCTTTGAGAGGTTTCTACGAGGGTATGTCACAGCAGATGCAGCTTTCACAGCCATTATCAAATATAACAAGTGGAGGAAGGATTATAATGTGGATAACTTGTCCACCGACGATCCAGACATCATGTCGGAACTGGCAAAGGGGACAGTTCACATACTGCGAAATAGGGACAAGAAGAACAGGTAGTTATGTCTGAGGAACATCTCAGTTATTTGTTTATGATTTGTCTTTTTGTATTCTCTGACCAAAGTCCTCTTCTCGTAGCTCATATTCTGGGGGGAATGAATGAATAAATGAATTAATCAAGAATTGACATCACCCTGCTCCAGGACATTCCTACGCATGCTCCCTCTCCTTCTTCAGCAGCGGATGAACAGTTGATATGCTAACAGTACCTGCTGCAACCTGATTAGAATCCTGCCTGTGTTTCCCGCCAAAGTGATGAACATATTCCAGAACCTCTACTCAGCCCTTGTTGAATTAGTCGTTCAGTGTCTGTTATGTTGCACCGTCTATTTAATCCCAGAGAGCCTTCACCACGTCCATTTTATCATAAAGTAGCTTACCGCCCAGAGGAGTGGCAGTAGCCAGTCTGTCAGCGTGCTAATTGCCTATGATGTATTGTTGGTCTTCATGTGTGTACACAGTCTTCTGTCTCATATACTGACAATCATTACTGAAACTTGTGGGTTTTAAGGGCCCTCATTTTTTTAGTGGAAACAGGAAGAGGCCAACATCCACTAACAAGCATGCTGTTGAAGATGACAAATCAGGGATTTGCTGAAACCATATGTCTTGTGTTTAAGATGCCCATATAAAAGTTTTGCTGTAAACCACAAAACAGCATGCCATCGTCTGACAGGAATCAATGTAACAGACAAAGCCAATCTTTTATGGCAGGACACTCTGGAGTAAGAGGGCATGAACGAGTGGACTGGCTTGCTGGCAGGGCCATGTTAGTGACAGGAAAAGCAATGGACCGAGCCGATGTTCTCAGTGCTCTGAAGGAGACAGGATGAGTAGATGATTCAGGGAGTGATGGTGGATCAGCAACCTTGACAGTACTGAGAATATCAGGTCAAAAGATGCTTTGCCAGACATGGATGCTGCAGCCACAAAAGAATAGTAAACTAACACAGAACTAGTGTTTCAGATGCCACACGCTGAGGAAGATACTGTAGATGGGATCTGAGCAGTTGTGGAATGATATGCTATGAGGATGATCAGTCAGTTAACTAACTAACTAACTAACTGACTGACTGACTGACTAACTAACTAACTGACTGACTAACTAACTAACCAACTATCTAAACTAACATCAAGCCACCATTGTTTTAAGAGCACATGCAGAAGAAGACAAACTAACAAAACTAAAATTAAAACTAAATAAACTACAGTAAACCTTAAATCTGAACTACTAAACTAACTAACTAACTAACTAACTGACTGACTGACTGAATGATTAACTAACTAACATCAAGCCACCATTGTTTTAAGAGCACATGCAGAAGAAGACAAACTAACAAAACTAAACTAAACTACAGTAAACTTAACTGAACTAAACTAACTAACTAACTGACTGACTGACTGACTGACTAACTGACTGAATGATTAACTAACTAACATCAAGCCACCATTGTTTTAAGAGCACAGGCAGAAAAAGACTTCTGACAAAGATATGTTCAGTGTCACTATGTCAAATGTTTAGACATCCTCTCTCTTGTCTCTTTCTGCTCTCCTTCCCTGAAAGGTTCCTGTTTTTCTGGTATAAGTTAGTCCGGTTTGCCAGGGAATGTGGATTGTATTTTTCTGATGTAAGTAGATTCATGTACATATTGATCAGGCGGAAACAACATGCGTAATAACGTATGAACACTGAATTAGGAGTGCTTTTGGCAAATAGGGACATAATGTGATGAAGAGCATGATTGTGTATAATCAATGTGCTCCTGGAGCCTTAAGACATTTTCTGCGGAAGCAGAAGCATCTGTGTGTATGCCCCGTCTGCTGGTCTGTCAATTTTTAAATCAGTAACCAGGCAGGTTCATACAAACAGTTGTCAGATAAATTCATCGACCCAGTCGTCAGAATGATTCTACATACACTGAGTGATCAAAGAGATTCATAACTCAGGCGTCAAATAGATTCATTTACATAGTTGACAAAATAGATCATGCACAGAATAGATAAATAGATTAATGTGCACAGTTTGTCAAATTGATGAATGTATGTTGGGGTGAAATAGATCTATGGACAACAGACTGGCCTAAAGCTAGAAAGCGCCTGTGTTCATTTATACATCTTGTGTGTGGACATCAGGTCTGATAAACCACTGGCACAGCAAACTTAAAAATCTAAAAAAAACTCACCCATAATAAACGCATAATAATGTGTTTTCAAGAGAGAAAACAAATTCACATCCTGAAGTTGGATGCATCAGCACAAATTTGGCAGTCTCACTTGAGATAACCACATGTTTTTTTTAATAGATTTTTAAGAAAGAAGAAGAAGAAGAAAATTATTAACACTCATATTAAGTGATCAGTGTATTATTAAGTGATCAGTGTATGCCTTCTCTGTCAACAGACCCATCTTGTATGTGGCTGTGCGGAAACATCTTGCCAGTGACAGAGACCTCGACAAGCTAACAAAGTTCACTGTCTATATGCTGGTGAGTAACTCTCAGTTTTGTACGTCAATACTTCAAAGTGATCTCCCCTAACATAAATGAAATTGACAGCGTAATTTTGTTCTTAACCAGTTCATGTTGTTTTTATTTTATCATTGTAAATTGTCCTCACATGATGTCCTGCAAATGACCCTTAAATATGTTCACCATAGTGAATGAACTTCACTCTTGGAACCATCACAGAGGGTTAACTTTATAATTTTCATCTAATGTTACCCCGATGACCCTAAAATAAGCTACCTTGAAATAATTAAATAAGGGACCCCTTTCCATGTCTTCAGGATGTTAGGGCATACACTGCTTATCATCATCAGGTACCTTGCCGACTGGCGTGGGCGATCATGCCTCTCAATAATCTGCAATTTCTTGCAGCATGTATCAGTTTGTGTGCTGACACACCTCCATGCCACACAACAAGACTGTCAAGAATCTTCCCTCGTTGTCCTTCACTATCCCTCCTTCCTCAGATCTTTCCAATGGTCACAACATATTCTGCTGGACCTGTATTTTATAGACGAGTCGGCACTCAGTAGGTGATGTGGTCAGCATTACGCTAGCCGCCTTAACTTCCCTGGACTTTACCTGGCACCTTCTCACGGCTGTCTCAACTATGAGCCAAGGTCAGTTTTTGAAAAGAAGTCTGGCTCTGTTCAGATTCGTACCCATGACCAAATCTGCAGGGACATCTAGCCGCCACACCACGGCAGCTCCCATACAGCCACACCACGACAGCTCTCATACAGCCACACTACGGCAGCTCTCATACAGCCACACTACGGCAGCTCCCATACAGCCACACTACGGCAGCTCTCATACAGCCACACTACGGCAGCTCCCATACAGACACACCACGGCAGCTCTCATACAGACACACCACGGCAGCTCTCATACAGACACACCACGGCAGCCTCCATACAGCCACACCACGGCAGCTCTCATACAGCCACACATTACGGCAGCTCTCATACAGCCACACTACGGCAGCTTCCATACAGCCACACCACGGCAGCTTCCATACAGCCACACCACAGCAGCTCCCATAGGGCAATTTAACTTGCAGTATTTTCATAATCTCTTTAAAGTGAGCTCACAGTATTTTGCTTGTTTTCCCTTCTTCAGGAACAGACTTTTAAAAAACTCAATGAGGAGATAGTAGATACAATATGCATTGTGTTTGATCTACGCAAGTTCACCTTAGCTAACATGGACTACCAGTTTGTCAAGCGGCTGGTCTGGCTCTTGGGCAAGTACTATCCTGAGAGACTGGGCATCTGTCTTATATATGGTGCTCCCATGGTGTTCCAGGGCTGTTGGGCGGTTATCCGACCTTGGTGAGTGCCCCACATCTGATCCTTCTAACTTTGATCTTTTGTAGTGTTTGTCTGGCTTGCCAGGGAAGTTGCAGTCATCACTGATCTCTGAATTTGGTCTGTTGTCACATTCAGTGATGTTGATCTGTTATTATTTATCACTTGCCAGTGATACTGCAGTAATAACTTGACAGGGGAGTTGGTCTGTTATCATTTGCCAGTGAAGCTGTTTCACTTGTCAGTGAAATTGTCTCTTATCATTGTCAGTGTTGTTGGTCTGTTATTAGTTGTCAGTGATGTTGGTCTGTTATCACTTGTCAGTGATGTTGGTCTGTTATCACTTGTCAGTAAAGTTGTAGTTTTCACTTTTCAGGGAAGTTGTAGTTATCACTTGTCAGGAAAGTAGTTCTATTATCACTTACCAGTGAAGTTGCAATTATCACTTGTCAGGGAAGTTCATGTGTTGTCACTTCTCAGTGATGTTGCATGTTTGTCTTGTATCACTTGTCTGTCTGACTGACATTGCAGTTATCACTTTCATGTGTAGTTTATCTGTTATCACTTGTCAGTTATGCTGCAGTTATCACTTTTCTGTTTAGCTCATCTGTTATCACTTATCAGCTAATTGGTCTATTATCACTTGTCAGTGACATTGCAGTTATCACTTATCTGTGTAGTTCATCTGTTATCAATTGTCAATGATGCTGCAGTTATCACTTGTCTGTGTATAGCTCATCTGTTATCACTTATCAGCTAATTGGTCTATTATCACTTGTCTCATCCACTGGTAGTGTTGCTGAAGTTATAGATCATTTATAAATACTGATCTGTAATTTTGTTTTTCCAGTTTTAAATCATTGATACATAAAATTAACTGTGATGACATTGTAAATGTGTAAGTGCAAGCTGACTTGGCTTATTTGCATGAATACAAAATGTCTGTGTCTCCTACATGTGCTAATGCCATAATCATTCTGCCTGTCATTCGGACGTTGATAATAGCAGAACTCAGAAAATATTTTGTAGTCACTATTTCGCAGTGGAAGAAGTTATTTTTCATCTCCATTATAATTAGGTTCAATTTTGAATTTTGATTATTGAATGGCAGGTTTTGCTTGTTAAACACCATTTTTGATAGTTTATCTCAGCTTATGATTGTTAAATAGCAGCTTATGATCATTGATTGACAGCTCATTATATGATTGTTGAATATCACACTATGATTGTTGAATGTCAGACTATGATTGTTGAATATCACATTATGATTGTTGGATGTCAGGTTGTCATTTTTTAGTATCAAGTTACCAGTGTTGTCAGGAAAGCTATAATTTTAAATATCCGCTGATAATTTTTGAATGAATTTCATCTTGTGATTAAGAAGAATGCAGCTCCTAATGTTGGATAATGATTAAGATCGCTAAATGTCAGAATGACATTGATGAGGGTTATGTTATCATCCCTGAACTGAACATCAGTTTATGAATGATGAACCTTATTATTATTATTATTATTCAAAGCATATTTATTCCAACTCTGTGCTACCAGTGCCAGACATGGTCACTCACAACAAACCATAAAAGAAAATTAGTAACCACGGAAATGAGATGTCTGAGAAGGGCTGTAGGAGTGACCATAAGAGATAAGATCAGGAATGAGATCATAAGAGAACAAGTCGGCACAGAACCAATTCTGGATTACATACAAAGACAGCAAGTGAAATGGTTTGCCCACTTAGAGAGAATGCCTTGTGACACCATACCATACAAAGCATACATGGAAAGAGAAGAAGGACGTAGAGCACGGGGCAGACCAAGAACAAGATGGAAGGATAACATCAGAGAAACTCTACAACAGCACGATGTGCCTATGGTCGAGGCGGCCAGAAGAGCTAGAAACAGAACCTTATATCTCCCTCGACACCCACAGCGGTAAAAGAGGAAGTGAAGAAGAAGAAGAAGAAGAAGAACCTCAGGTTATCTTTATTGCAGTCAGCATAATCAATATTGAACAGTGGGTTTTTATTGTTAAATGTTCAATTGTGATTGTTGTAAAAGTAATGTTAGTCTCCCCAGACCCCACTCATATACACACTAGCTCACTTCTGATTGGTAGTTCCTAAGCCCTGTGCCCTTCACACAAGGTTACAGGGTTGTTCCACAATGCCATTGATATCGCGTGTTGTATATTTCAGCACACCAGCACCTTTAACACTCCAAAAAATACATGGAGAAACTGGGTCTAACAAAACACCCCTAGAGAGTGCTGCAACCTGTGTCACAGGCATTCTTTCTCTGAATGAAAACGTAAATGCAAGACATCACAGAAACCAAACAACAGAGCTGGGCACACCCGTAACCTTCAGGAAAGTCGACCAGCCCAACAAACTTGTGAATGAAATGTGACCTACTCTATTTGGGGAGACTAACATGAAACTAACTGAATGTCAAGATAGAATTGTTTTATTCAGTGTATTTAATGTTGAATTTGGTCCTGCTTTAGGTTGAATGAGGTCACTGCAAGCAAGGTGACTTTCGTAGGGACAGAAGAGCAGCTGTGTCAGTATCTGAACCCAGACTGTCTACCTCCATGTGAGGACTGAGCCACCTGGGCCACCTGGAGCATGAGGGTCTTTGGAGTGTCTGTGTGCAAGCTCAGAATGTTTCTGCAATCTAAGAATGTTTATAAAGCCAGATTCTTCAGCTGGCTGTATCATACATATCAGTTGATGTATGTCTGTTTGGGAAGTGGATGCTTTTTCTCCTCCGTCTCCTTCTTCTTTTCCTCCTCCTTCTCCTACTCCTCTTCATTCTCCCTGCCACTAGTTTTCAGATGAAAAGGCCAAATTCATCCATGAAGTCTGTGGTGTGACGCATGTACTCCACTGAGGCATTCAGCTTTGATTTTCGATGTATTGGTAACCGGCCAGATTTGGGATCTTTCTGCTGCTTGTAGAGAGCTTGTTTACAGCACATGTTTAGTATTCTATCGGGCTTGTCCACATGGGCAGATTTCTAAGTCCCCAGTCTTGAATTTCTTGTACCTGTAACTGAGCAGTCCAGTTCACACTCTAAAATTACATGGTGCGCCATAAGTTTCCAGGCTGAAAAATAAAAAAAATGTCTTGTAATGAAAGCCATTTTGGTGCTTTATTAATATCCTACCCCAAACATGGGAAATCCACAGGTCACAGTACAGTCTAATATTTCAAGGAGTGTTAGATAGGCTGCATGAAGTCATGGGACCTAGGTTGCACTCTCTTGTGGGACATAGGTGGGTTGGGGTTAGAGCCAGTTCTAGATATTTTGGGGTCGTTAAAAGTATCAGAAAGCCAGGAAACCCAGTCTTACCACCCTATAAAAATGTTAGACTGTCCTGTGATGTCCTCTGGGGTAGGATAATAATAAAGTACAGCCATTTCTATTTTACAAGATGCTCTGCCTGACTACCATCATTTAAAAAACACATTTTGGTGTGTGTCCTTCGCTGATAAAGAACATGTATAACCACAACCAGAATAATGCTTGTAATGGCGTTGGTGATATTTTTATTAGTCCTATCTGTAGAAACTTATGGTTCATTCTGTACAGTAGTTGCTTGTGTGAGAAGGTTTAAAGCGGGCTGAAGATTTATTTTTGTGATTTTTTTTTTTTTTTCAGAATATATGTACTTTTATTTGTAGGTGATTTGGGGGGTGACATTGTGCACTAGTCAACGTATCAAATGTTGAAGAGGGTTATAAAAACGTTCCCCACGAATAGTAGGTCTATTTCATTAATATGTTTGTTGGACTAGTCTTCAGTGGTGAAGGTTATGGGTTTGGCGCTCTGTTGTTGTTTTGCATTAACGTTTTTATTCCGAGAAAGAGACTGCCTGTGACAAAGGTTTGATCACTCTCTAGGTGGGGTTGTGTGTTAGACCCAGTCTTTAAATGTTTTTGGAGAGTTAAAAGCTTTGCCATGGTGAAATATACAAAACACAATATCAGCGCCAGTGCAGAATAGCCCTTGTGTGAAAGTCAAATGGCTCGAGGCCGACCAATAAGGAGTGAGTTAAGCGAGCTAGTGTATACTGGTGTATAGTATGGGTGGATTATCTTTTGTTTTACCGTTGATGAGTTGACAATCAGACACCTCATTTTCTCAGCCCTCTCTATGCAAAAGCCCTCTTCATATATTCACCCTTGATTACAGACACTACATACATTTGAGAAGGAAACTGAAAGTGATTGAACATGTGCGGGTAACTGAATCTTATTCTCTTCTTCCTTATGTTCACCAGCTGTTAACTCCAGCAAAAAAGTTCTGGTTGTTTGTCCACTTCTGGACTTTGGTCTGGTTTCAGAATTTGAGTGTTGCCTGCACGTCCGTTTTACAGATCTGGCTTATTTTTATGCAGTTTGTTGTTACCTCTCCGGCATATGTGCTCCGACTTCGAAGGAAACTCCTGATTACTTAACTCTTATGTCATGCTTGTTAAGGACGCAGTAGGTATATTCTTGTTTTCCCCGTAACAAAGCCCAGTAACCCACAGGGGGATAATTCAGTGTTTCCCAACTTGGGGCCTGAGTCCCAGGGGGTTTGGAGGTGGGGGGGGGGGAATTTGATTGTTTAGGGGACAATATGAAAATGGACGTCCAGAGTTGAAGTAACATAGGAGGGCATACGAATTTTAGAAAGGCTTTGGTGGAGCATGGCACACACAAAAATGGTTCAGAGACACTGGTATAACTGAATCAACCTATGAGGATCAGCAATGGTAACTGGATACCACATAAATTTATGAAGAATTTGACATTACTTTGGTCATGTAAAAGTAATTAAATCAATATGTAAGATTTCAGTTGTCATAAAATAGTTTTAAAATGTTGAAAGGTAACTGTTTTATTGAATTAAGATTTTTAACATAAAGAATGAATACACTTTTTTAAAAGTTTTTTTATTTTGGGGCCACCTGATTAAATTTTGATTTTTTGGGCACGTGAGAGAGAGAGAGAGAGACAGAGAGAGAGAGAAAGCCACACATGCCTGTATGCACATACATACGCACTTACACCATAGGAGAAAGAGAGAGAGAGAGAGAAAGCCACATATGCGTGCATGCACATACACACACACACACACCATAGGAGAAAGAGAAAGAGAGATTTTTACTAGAAATATTTAGGGGAGAGATTCGTTAAATTAACTGCAGATATCACTGTCCTTTTATTCATTGAGTGACACTTAGACTTTAGAATATTTACAAGGGTATGATACTGTAAGGGATTCGATTTGCCGTGGCTTTGGCTGCTAGACGCCCGCCTGCGGATCGGAAGGTTGTGGGTTCACGTCCTAACAGAGCCAGGACTTTTTTTTTTATTTCAGAAATGATCTTGACTCCCAGGTCGACCCAGCCTTGAGTGGGTACCAGGTGCAGTCGTGGGAAGTAAAGGTGGCCTGCGTAATGCTGACCATATCACAAAGGGTGCTTTACTTTACTGATGATACTGTAAGCTTATTAGTTGGTGTCCCACTGGTAGTTTGATCTGAAACATCCAATTTATTTATTGTTCTCTGAATTTATATCCAGCTGATTCGATCAAACTGTCTCACGTCATCAAGTTTGACATCCTCACTACTGTGGTGTAGTGGCTAAATGCTCACCTGCAGATCCGAAGGTCGTGAATTCAAATCCAAACAGAGCCGGAATTTTTTCAAACATGACCTGCCAGATTGACCCAGTCTTAAATGTGTACTAGGTGAAGTCCTGGGAAGTAAAGGCAGCTGGCGTGATGTTGACTGCATCACCCGTCGAGGGCCAATTGGTCTGTAAACACATGTCTAGCCTCGTTTGCTTGATGCGCCACTGCTGTGTGACGGGAAAATACTTAATGTCATCGTCAGGTATTTCAAGATGATTTCAATACTTTCCTCAGACAACTCATTTCATTTGGGGTTATCTTTATAGTCTGTTGATTAGTAATGTTATTATGTGTTTTTTTGTCTCATGGCCACATGTTTTATTGCATATATTTATTGATTGTTACTTTGCATGTTCTTCCTGTATCTCAGGGTATCTAACCATCCATGATAGAAGAGGCGAGACTAAGCTAGACTGCATGGAGCCCTATAGCCTGTAGTAGCAGAGAAAAGACTAAATAAGACTATACAATACCTCTGTACCTCATGGTAGAAGAGGAAAGACTAAGCAGATCTTTAAGCTACCTCTATTTTCCAGGGTTAAAGAGGAGAGACTAAACAAGATTGTAAGGTACCTCTACACTTCAGAGTAGAAGAGGAAAGACTAAACAAGACTGTAAGGCACCTCTATATCCCAGACATAATAACATCTGTGCCCTAGGGATTAACTGGAATGACCAAACCAAAACTTAAAAGTACTTATATACCTAATTTTAGTCAGGGAAATGCTAAACATATGCTGTACATACTTTGCTAGGTGTAGAGAGGAAAGATCCACTTAGTAAACAGAACCAGTACTGAACTCTATAGGTAGACAACAAAATTAATGGTTTGGCCATGTAACAAGATTGGCAGCAGACAGGGCACCACAGAGAGGGGTGTTATACAGATACAGTGTTAACAAAACTAGAGGTCAACCATGTAGAAAATTGACTGCAGAAATATCAGAGACGCTGAAAGGTACTTTATATGAAGCTAATAGAAGGGCCAGTTCCAGAGATCTCTTTCTACCCTGATGCACCAAGGCATTCCAGAAATAGAATAAAAGAGGAAGAAGATGCTAAGCAATCCATAAAGTAAATGTTAACTCCAAGTTGAAGAGGAAGTTCTAAATTAGATCTTAGGACAGCTCTTAATTTAGATTAAAAAAAAAAAAATTACTCAACCAGAAATCATAGGGAATCTCATCACTTCAAATTAAAGAAGTCTGTAAACGCGATAGATCTTTGGGCAGCTGTTTACTTCAGATTAGAATAACTATTAAATAGACATATTTAAGGGAAGTTGTTCATTTCAGATTAGAAGAAGAAGCAGGGCTAAAGTAGTTGTACTTTAGGCAGCTGGTTACTTAGATTAGAAGAGGAATTGCTAAGTTAGATATATTTGAGGGCAGTTGTTCACTTCAGATAGAAGAGGAATGGTTAAATTAGATAAATTTGAAGTCAGTTGTTTACTAGATAGAAGAGGAATGGCTAAATTAGATATATATGAAGGCAGTCGTTTACTTAAATTAGAAGAGGAATGGCAAAATTAGATCTGAAAGCAGTTCTATACTTCAGATTAGAAGAATAAGTACTGAGAGTTGGTGAGCTACTCACTGAATAATTGAAAAAAGTTGTAAATATAAATAAAAATGTTTCTGTTTGTGGGGTAAAGGGACACAATTCATTAATGAATGTCTATTGTTGGGTGAAGGTTCACAGTTCATAATTGAGCATGCAAACTACTTATTTTATGTTTAGTAAATTTTTTTTTTTTGGGTGTTCACCAGTTGAAGTTGATCTGCCATCAAATGTTAGCTCTTGATGTTGTTTTATTCATGAACAAATAATAGTAATTTTGATAACAATATTATGTCAGTCAATCACATTTCAAACTTCACCCCATTATTATACATGCCCATCCTGGCTTTGGACACAGT